TTTTTTTTTTACTTAATCTATGGAGGTTTATGACCTCTTCTAATTAAAATTTTCATTTTCCCGCTTAAATTATTTTTTCCCTCTTTAAAATATAAAAAATTAGAGTAAATTAATTTTTTCCCTCTCAAATTTCTACCCAAAAAAAATCTGGAAATCATTCACTTTCCTTTCTCTCGTACATTTCCAAAAAGAAACCCCTAAACCTAATTGCTTAGTTCTCCTTTCCCTCCGCCTCTTCCGCCTCGCAGTCCACATCCGCGAGGTCTGCGTCCATATAACCGTCGCAAAATCGTCATTTTCTTGTAGTGAACTTATGACCTACATTCAGTCTCCAATCAACCTGATTAAGATTTTACACTAATCTTTAATGTCAGAAGTTTTACAATCACAATACCACGTGCAATAAACTTCTACACTATTAAAGAAACCACTTCTTGAACCCTAAGAAGAACTTATTTGTAGCACCCCACTACAAGATTCTCTCTTCTTAAGAAACCAAATTAATATAACTACAAATACTGTAACATCCCAAATTTTATTTAATGAAAAGAAATATTTTTTTTATGTATTTATTATGTGAATAAGTATTTTATTTATGTATTTTACTATTTACGTATACGTATTTTACTATTTAACTTCCGTATGGCGCCACATGCATACATTAGTGAGTCAAGTCAAGAAAATCATTATACATAAGCATATATGTGAGATTGATTATATATGTGAATTATATTGCGTGTGTGTGTGCTATTTAACTTTTATTTCTATATCTGCAACTGAGTGAGAAGTTTCTCACTCCCTTGTCATTTTTGTGTATATTTAAATTATGATGCAGATAATTAGCATGAGGCTGAGGATGTTGGTGGTGAAGCTTAGGCTTCTGTTTGGGTTTCGCTCTGATAGGATGTGACATCGGGATTAGCTAGACTTATTGTTAAATTATTATTATTTTTCTTTTGTAATTTTTATGTTATTTATGTTGAAAGTGTGTATTTTTGTCATATTATAATTTTACTAAAAGATTATAAGTTAATTCCTAACTAGGAGGCTCTGCCACCTTTACTGGGATTAATCTATAATCTTTATTTTATTATTTCTTGACAATTTGATACTTACAGTTGAAAATTATGAATGTGCATCTTTTACCCAATGATACTTGAGATAATTATTTTATATTAGACTAAGAAAGAATTTATATATAGATGGTTTATATCTATTGTAATTATGTTGGGGTAGAGGGTGTCACAAATACAAAGAATTAATGGATCGAATTCACCTAATTTACAAAATAGATTATAGAATATGAATCACCCATGTAACTTAGCCTTTCAACCTAATGAAGATGATGATTTACTCAATTCTTAAAACTTTCTTGAGGTTACCACAAAGGTTAAAGAACCTTTTTCTTGTAGAGAGAAATGTGTTACATAGAGTGTTTTTCGTAAAATGAAAACACTATTATTATTATTATTATTATTATTTTATAAAATGTTACAAATTTATAAATTAATGATTGTTCAAATAATTTCATTTATTAGTTAATTTATCAACCTATAAGTTTGTGAGCCAACCCAACTTGTACCCACTTTTATCTATTAGGCTTAGTGAACTAGGTCAAAAATGACCTAATTCTATTTAGTTCACCATTCTTAAAGTTTATCTCGACTTTATTTGTAGACTCACTCATGAAATCGGACACAAATTCACAGCTCTATTACTTTAACTCCCTTACCAATCATGGACTCTATTCCTACACCCGTAGATCCTACTGCTCAACCCATACAAGAACTTATGAAGTTATAAATGTTAGATTTGAAAGTTTTAACATGACTAAGTATTTATATGAAAGTTAAAACTAATTATGCATATTATTATTATATTTTACATTTTTCACATTTTTTCTTTTTCATTATATTCTATTTTTAATTGTCCGTATAAAATTGAGTGTTACTATTTACTAGGGATGGCAAAACGGGCCAACCCGTCCCGTTTTGGCCTGACCCGCCATAGGCTCTCCAAAAATGGGCCGAGGTTGGGCCAGCCCGCCAATGTAAAAGGGGTTGGGGATGCTGGCCCGTCCCGTCTAAGGACGGGCTGGCGGGTTGGCAGGCCAGCCCGCATACAAAAAAATTAAAAAAATAGAAAAAAAATATTTTATGTTCAAATAAAAACTTTTTGCTACAAATAAATAAATATAACTATATGAAATTAAAAATGCATACATATTGTACATAATATATGTTCAACAAAAGTAAATTACAAACTTAGAACAAAATCAAATAGAAATTAGTCCACTTTCACCAAAATCAAAAACCAAGTTATAAATTTACAAATTACTTATAAACTAAATTTTTTTATAGTCCACAAAATAAGTTCAAATACAATTAATTAACTTTGATTTTTTATTTTAAGAATATTATAAGCTCTCTTGGAAGAAGTTGTCTTTACTTTTTTTTTTTTAATCATCTTCATCCTTATCTTCTACATCAAAATAAAATAAACATAAAAATAATTAAATTAAAAAAAATATGCGGGCCGGCGGGTTGTAGCGTACCGGCCCGCTATTTAGCCCGGTGGGTTGGCGAGCTTAGCGAGTTGACGGGTTGAAATGATGAGCTCAGCCCGCCAATTTTTGGCAGATCAACGAGCTAACCCGCGAGCTACAGTCCACTTTGTCATCCCTACTGTTTACAATAAATCTGTGTGCTTTGTTCATAAGTCAAAAAGAAAAAATGCAATTTGTCGTCCCTTGTTCCTTTCTCATCTCTTTTTGTGAAATTCCTTGTGATTTCCTCGATCACATTGATTAGTGACAATAATTTCTAAAGATTCCCATCCATGGAACGGCTGAGACTAACTAGACAGACCATCCAATAAATGTTTGCAATAATCAATTCTTCAATGTTGACAAGAAATAACATCACAATAAATAAAAAATAATGTAAAATATGATTTGATAATTAATTCGTTAAATTTAATTCATAAATAAAATAAATTTAATTTGATAAAAAAAATTGAGCTTATAAATAAATTAGCTAAATTTGAAATACCACTACTAGAAAAATTAATATTTGTGACGAATTTTGTGACGGAAAAATTGGGGTCTATTCTTGATTTTTGATCAAGAATAGTAAATATAGAAGCAATAGAGTGCTTGCAAGTTTTTTTTAAAAAAAATATTAAAAAAATGCATTTTAAAATAGATTTGAAATGATTTGAACTTAATTTCAAAACATTTTTAGTTAAATGAGATATTAACATAAAGAATTAGTAGATGATAGTATATAAAAAAGTTTACTTAGCTGCAC